CTGCTTCTTCCTCAGGGATGTGTTCTGGGTCTGTATCCTACTCCCTTTTTTTCTACCACATTATCTTGCCTCTTTGTATGGACTGTGATGGTCTGTTGTCTTCGAGACATCATGACGTTGTTGTATTTAGATCTCTATTAACTGTTTGTGAAGAGCAGTTAAGGGTGATTCAGGTTCTTTTTGGTGTTTGTTTATTGTCAGCCAGTTGGTGGAGAAGGAAGTTGTGGCTCTCACTCAGTAACTGAAGCTGCAGGAGGTGTGGGTGTAATTGTGTCGTATGGGCACTGTTGCTGTCTCCCACTCCGTTAAACAAAAACAACAATCAAATAACCATCAAAAAGTAAAAGCAAGCAGACAAAAAACACCTTGTGTAAACACAAAGGAACAATAACCAAAAAAGGAAAAAAACTTGCAATGTCTGGGGAGAGGGCAATAAGAGAAAAAGGAGAATAATGAAGGAAAAAAATGTGAAAAATGCAAAAAGAAAAAGAAGGAACGGAGTTAACCACAAGAAAGAAAAAAAATGGGAACCAGGAACAGGGAAGAGAGAAAAAGCTGAAAACTAGAACTTGGGAAGGGAAGAATAAAGAATAATAATAAAAAGGACAAAAATACTAATTTTAAAAACAAACAAACTAAAAACAAAAGGAAAAAAAAATCTGGGCAGGTTCAGACAGGGCACCTACGCTCCCTCCAAGCACACAGACTGGGATGGAATTCCTGCTGGCCCAGAAGGTGGGTGGGAGTGAGGGATGGCCACACCTCTGTTCACCAAGGGGGTGTGGGGTATAAGAGTAACAAAGGGAATATATCGCACCTTTCCAGTTGTTAGCATCCAGAATGTCCTTGTGGTTCCCGGCAAGTGGAGCCTATTCTTAAGTCCCTGGAATCTTTAAATATCCAAAATGGTCGAACTGCTTGTGAACATTCAAAATGGCTGCACCCTTTGGACACGTAAAAGTCCACAGCTTAGCCCGCCTTCCTCTTCGTTGCTTCCCCTTTTATTCACCAGCCACCAGTGCAGTCCTCCGTGCAGCCCCTAGCTAGCAGGACCGATTTTTAGGTTAATTCTTAGGTCCTACCACCACTTGGCAATATCCAAGCTGTCTGTGCCATCAGGGTTGCTGACAGACCACAGCTCCATCTGTCTCCATTTTTGGTGTTTTCATGCAAGCATTTCTACTGTTGTTGTTATTATGTGCCATTGAGTCAGACCCAACTCATAACAACCCCTCCTTGGGTTTCTGAGGCAGTATCACTACAGAAGTAGATTGCCCCAACATCCCTTCCAAGGAGTGGCTGGTGGGTTTGAACCGCCAGCCTTCTGGTTAGCTGTCAAGTGTACAGTTTAGTCCACTTCCATATCCTTCCCTTCCAAGCTCAGGGCTATAGGGTTATCTTCTGAATCTATGTTAATTGGTTCCCTTTTCTTTGTTGAAGAGGGTCTGTGCAGTCTGTCTGCCTATTCTGCCATCTTACCAGAACTTTACTTCACTGTACAATTCTTGTACTTTCTACAGACTTGAAATTTCTCAAAATAAAAAACTACTTCAGAAGTTCAATACATGTGTTTTCATCCCTCCTCATGTTTTTACATCCAATATAAGCATATGGGCCTACAGAGCCTACAGTGTCAGACCTCGAGCCCATGACACTTACCTGGCTGTAGCACCCTGATCTCCAGCAGATTGGAGGTTCTTTCTGCCAGCCGCGTCCAGGTGTTGTTGTAGTTCTTCCGCCACAGTTCCGCCACACACTGGTACTTGCCCGCCTCTGTGTCACTGGCTCGGCTGATGCTCAGGCGCACGTTGTTGCTGGATTCAGCCTTCTCAATGGCAGTTCGGGTTCGGAAGCTGGAGGACCTGTCCCCCCACTGGACCCCTCCATCCCGGGTGAAGGTCACCAGGTCATGGAACTCAAAGGTACCCACTGGCTGGAACCGCCATGTCACCGACACAGGGACCCGGGCCGGGTAATGAGGTTTGATGATGCACTGCAAGTCAAAGGAGTCACTGTAGGTCACTCCTGGCGTACGTGAGATGGCTGTGACCGCAAAGCCTGTTTCTGGAGAGAGAAAAGAGAGGTTCAAATCTGAGGAGATACTTGGCTTTCTCAGCACAGTGTGACACCAGAGATGGGCTGCTGACTCAAAAGCAAGCAGAGCAGGACAAAGTCTTGTTAGGTTTCTGAG